ACTTATGTTACAACCCAATAGTTGCTCGGTATTCTCGCTATCGACGGCTAGACTCTTCTCAGCAAACCACAATAACTGTTATGTCTCACTCTTTTAAGGCGCGTGAAATGGCACGCATAAATAAATAAATAAATGCTGTTCAAGTAAAGTAGAACACTCTTTCGCAATGGTGTCCACGCTAGAACTAGAGTGGCCAAAAATAGTAATGAAACCAACGCGAAAACAGAGTTAATCTGCTAAAATAATAATTTTCGAATGTAACTGCATTACTATTAAGTCACAAATGTTTTTACTTGTATTAATCTATGATATTCAGTAACGAAACGCCTCCCAAAACTGCATCCCTGCCAGCCCCTTCTCAAGAATCTGGTCAACAAAACTACGCCTTCGACCTATCAGAAACCAGCCCCAGGTTTGTTGACTTTCTTCGACATTATAGTGATTGAACACATCACTAATACGAACTGATTACAGTCGAATAGAGGAACGGCGGTGCCAACGACAAGCCCGTCTGATTTGCGATAACCCAAGTGCGGATGTGACGCTTGAAGGGTATATCGTCAATATCCGGATTTCCTGGAAGTAGACCTTTAACCAAGACTATTTTTTAGGATTGATCGATCCGTTGGGAAAGCTTTAGCAGTTGAGAAGCTTTTACAGGACAGTTATATATTCGACACACATGTTATGGGTCGTCCAAATGGCAACATCCATATTGTTGCCGCTAAACGGGACTATATCTAGTGTGCAATTTACTCCCATATTATCGAATATCGATATCATTCTTGCATTTATTCGGATTTTCTGAAATAGTCATAATCCCAAGGTCCGATCCCTTTAGTCAGTGACCACAGCGGGTCATTCATGTGTTCAGAAACAGCCATTCCGGTCAGAATCTTTTATGCATAATTCCTTCTAGCAAATGATGAAACGTGGACAATCACATCATATACATTTATACAGTAACGAATAAAACATTTGACACAAGTTCACACCACCTGTTAATAGTAAGTCGAGCAATTTTTATCAAGTTCAAGAGATCTCCAGTATAGAAGTCGTTGTGCAAAATGACTATCACTGCTTTTCCATCTCCCACATTACAACGGGCACATCTGGACTAAGTCGAGGGATCGCATACCGCTCATAACCCTAAATTAGAGACGTGATATATGAGTAAAACCGAATCAATCAAATAAAAACCGGTTCACTATTGGACCGTTCTTTTAAAATGTATGTATCATAAGTAAGAAATGGCCAATGTCGATGCCCGACTGGAACATGTGCTTGAGTGAATTACTCTCAAAAAGCAAGTATTGTGTAGCACAGCAGACCCTAGATAGTTCCTGACTCAATTTTAAAAAGTTCCCGCATAAAAATTAGGTTCTTATAAAGGTCCATATCTTTTTTCAGCTGCCCAATTGTGTGATCTCAACGAAGTTTTGATTATTCTGAGCTTAACTCTGCTTAGGGCCTCAGTAAACTCCTTTTGCATTGAAAAATAGAATCACATGGCAATAAACATACCTTTGGACGCAAATTATTCACTACTCTTTGTAGCCGCCTCATTTGACCGTCTTGAGACTGATGCTCGGCGTAAAATTCATGAGCGACATCACCGTCTTCATCGACATACTGGGAACTTGAATAAGAAAGAATTGTTACACAAAACTTCTGAAAGTATACAAACAAGTTACCTGGGCGTTTGGTGAACCAAAAAAATTTCGGGAAGAAGGCCTTTTCTCTTCATAAGTTCAGCATACTTGTTGAGAAAATGTTCATGCCGTGATCGTACTATAGGGGCTGTGTCATTCTAAAAATAAACTGACACCACTACAAGGATTTTATGTTTTGAGCTGAATAAGAGTGTTAAGCTCTTTCAAGCCTACCAACACTAAGGCATTATGTCGAATGAATCAGCGCTACGATAATTAATGACCTGAACATTCCACACGACACTACGAACTGCAAATTGGGAGTGCAGTGACGTGGGCTATGGGCTAATCGTACATCCAAGGGGGAACCCAGACTCGTTTATTCGCTTATCCTATCTCAGGCCATGTTTGGCGCGTCTGCAGTGAACACTGGTAGTCTATATACATGAGTTTGGGCTGTGCCATGAGATGACCGATATAAACAGTACAGTATGAACTGGCTTTGGTATTTTCGCACATCTGCTTTGTTTTCAGACCATCCTTTGTATGAAACGTTGTGGCCCCCTTCATCATGCTCGAAAAAGAACAAAAAAGTGGCCTGTGGAGCAATTTCAATTAGGCCAGTCTTCTTCGAGGGAACCGTATAAACAATACCAGGCGGCCAAGCACCCTATCGCGTGCGCTAGGGGCTTAGCTATGAGGTACGGAGCCACATGAGCTGATTTTCGTTATAGACCTTTATCGGATTTATAGGTCCCGCTCAAAACCAATATGGGAGGAGTCTGGTCCTGCCACCTACCATAAGTGTTCCCATCCTGTCGCCTGTACTCCTATCAAGTTTANACTTTCTAGGTCAATGGGAACCGGAGTCATGAATTTTCGTATATAAATATGAGAAACGATGTGAGCTTCGAAGCACGCTCCGCCCACGCTCGAAGCACGCTTGTGGGCGGGCCTCCGCTGACGTCATCTGTGCTAGAGACACCTTCGACAATGCTCCTCCTACATCAACTTTTTACTGCTCTGTCGGCTTTTTCCAAACCGAGTTATAAATGTTTTCATAAAGCATTGCATTTTCGGAGAACGCTCGCCCATCGGGGGTGTGTCTCCCCAGTTGGATCTAACTTACCAATGCACACCTCTAGCCACCTTTACACCTCAGTTTAGAAGCCGTCTGGTGACTGAATTTAAACACATGACCCTCAGTACAGCTCATTTCGATGCACGCCACGCCCACTGGAGGCGGGGCTCCGTCTAGCTGATGTGTACTTTATACTTCTAGGGACATGGCCCACACATCCTACGCTTGAACCGGTCTCTCCAGGCAAGTCTGAAGGAGCTAAGAATTTCGCGACAGAAAGACATACAGACAGACAGAACGATAGACGAAGCGCTTTGTAGTATGTAGGATGGTACCGCACCTTGATTATTGACCCTCTTTTGGTGAGCTGATTGGCTGCAAAATCGGGAAATGTCTGGATCCAAGAGATGAGACGAATTCTATATTAATGAGTCGATGATCTTTTTATGACATCTTCTCTCCAGAAATGACTTTCTTCGTCACTCGACTTGACTCCGCCGTACTGCACCTACACCAGTCTTTCTGTGGTGTATCTTCAGGGAAAGACTTATGAAGGCAATTCGCACATCATAACATGTTGCAAGTTTCACAAAAAATTTCCTCTGTCCTACGCATCGGCTTCAGAAGTGTGCAGAAACGTGTACAACCGCATCTTCAAGTCCTTAGATTAATTCAAGACTCAAATTGTCACAGTACGAATTATAGAAAACTCGGGTATTGAAATAGTCTGCAGGCCGCTTGCACTATTTACATACTTTTGTTTAACCTGTTATACTAAGCTGCTGTACTGACAATGCTATGCCAGCTATCTGCCACCTACAATCGGTGCTATGCTCTCATCTCGCATTAGAGCTAGTCTAATTGAAAGATGAACAAAAATCTGTTGATGTTCAGCACCGATTCTGCATCCTCTACGCCCGAAATCTTAACGCTATAGGAGAGAAACTTAGCATTACAGCGAATCGAGTACGAGTTAACCCCGAAGCGTACATAATCAGTAATGTGGATCTCACCTCAGAAACAGAAGAAGTTGTAGTGTTCCTGTTTTCCTTCCTATGTGAACTGGTGAATTGGCCCATAACAAGCGCTACGGTATCACATTGGAAAAGGGAAGCACCTGCAACTGTTGGTTGGTTAATTACAAATCCACATACGTCTTATAAAAGTTCGACGAAAGTGCGTGACCAAAGAAATGTGGTAAGTGAAAGATCAGATGGATGTATTTTATGTAGTGTATTGATGAAATTCTTTTCAGAACGCACGTTGTAATGTGGAAAATTTCAAGGAATCCAGAGGGGAAAGAACTGCCGTGAATGAACAGTCCATATCTTTTCAAGAAACTTCCTTGAAGCTCTTCGAAAAGATTCGGGAGAATAACTTTTCCGCTTTCTTTGTTCTTCAAACTGAGGCAAGTGTGACTAAAAGAGAAAACACTGATGTCTGGCTAATACTGCATTGCCTGAGAAGTCTCCGCATTGGTCGTTTATCGATATTCCGCAGTTCAAAGACTCCGATGCATTGAGAGTCAGATTTCACTATCATTTTGGGCATCTAATTTTAGACGAATAATAGGGGTGATGGTCTCGAATAGTGCAAAAGTGACGAGGAAAATGTNTCAGCCTATTACAGAAATATAGGACATTCAACTTCGAAAAAGATGACGAAAGTTATAGTTGCAAAAAAAAATGTTACGACAAAAGTTGCAGGGAAGGGGTATTCGGACGAGCTGTTCAAATGTGCGCTCCATCGCATACAGCCGGCTAGAGGAAGCTGCTTGCAACGCTGTTGCAGCGTGCCAGTCCCAATGCGAACGGTGCAAACTCTACGGCGTGTACAACGTCGTGAGAACTCGCCCGCATTTGGGTGTATACGTCGACTAAGTCGGTCGTAAGGTCCTTGCTATGCCCTATCTAGGCCGTTTTCCAACCCGATGGTGTCCCTTGTGGAGTTCTCGCGGTAACAGGTTCATTCCTCAGCCTCAAAAATAGCTTGCACCGTGAACTAATTCATGATCGTTCGATATGTAGCAAATATGTAGGAGCCTGGAATAGTTTTACCGTGATCGTAGCAAAGATAATCGATTACGTGACATAAAATCACAAACTGCTAACATTAAATCGGCAAGTGACATCAAATTAAGTTGTTTTCGTGAGTGTAAAAAAAAATCCTTGATAGGCCACTTTGCTCCACCCCGTTTTGTCATGGTTTTGCGCGTTCACCAACACACACAAAAATAAATAAAAAAAATTAGGAAGGAACAAAGAGCCTTTCTATAATAAGAAAAGTCATACCAAAAGTTAACTAGCCACGCACAAATGTGTACATTAACCAGTAACATTCAAAAAGGGAGAGAAATTGCTTGATCTCAAGAATTATTCCGTGCAGCAACAATTATGCGAAATGTCGATCGACGGCCGAAGGCTCCATCGGCACTAACGATTTGAGGGTCAACCTTTGCGGATGGAGAAGAGAATGCTTGAATAATTTCATCGAGATCCTCCCCCTTCACTCAAGAGACCATTCTAAAAATAAAAACGACATTCCTTCAACAACAATGTATTTTCCTATCTATGCGTTGTGCACGGGGAAGGTATTGACCCGCTACCTAATCACTCATCCCATTATAGAAGAATCGTTGTTTGCCTGTTGGTCTTTTTGCCTGATCGGAACTTTGTTACTCAGAAATTATGGAAGCGTTGATGGTGGAAATGATAACAAAAGGAAAAAGAACTTATTAAGCAGAAGACAAAAATTTTATGGCTGCCATTGTCCGTAGGATTTACTAAAGGTCTAGCAAATGAGAGAGGAGAAAGATAGAAGCATGAGGTGATGCTGATGAGCATGAGTGATCTATGTTGATAAACACAGAAGGAAATGGTAAGAGCTGATAAAATTAGGTAACACGAAAAAGTCTGCTATGTTTCTCACGATTGACCCAGCGACCCTATTTAGAACTCAAGATAACTTTTTGCCACTATTCCAATAAAAGCAGCTTGTTGTTGTTGATGTACTACAACATTAGAAAATAGCATGTACGGCATCTTCTTCCGGCTGGGGGACATTGCTCATCCGAAAAGACCTCTTTGCAAAAAAAAGTTGCTAGGTAGGGAAATAACAAAATGAAAAGAGTCGAATACGGAGTGAAGGATGTGTTGCAAGATGATCGAAAATAACGCAGAGAGATCTTCTGCTAACATGCTATCGAAATACAACATCTTTTACAACATTCCTTGCCTCTGGCCGGTCCGGCCATCTAACGCTCCACTACGAAGGAATTGTAGTAGCGAATAAATCGTCATGCTTTACGATCAACAGTGTTGAACTAAGATAAACGACAAGACACAGCTGGGAGCCAAGTGAAACTGGCAAAAGCCGGTCTCACTTGTCTCCCAGTTATGATTCTGTCATTTCACTTAGTTCAACGCAGAGGTAATCGGATAATGAATGGGCCATTATGTGTTCAGGAACGAAGTAATGCAAAGAAGGCTTGCGTTCGGATAGCTTGATGACAACGCTGATACTCAAGCATCAAAGAAACTGTTCATGGTCTTGAACTAAATATAGTTCCCATTACAAGAGTGAAGCACCGAGTATGAAATGGTAAATGATGTTGTGCGGACGGGTGTAGTTAACATCAACTCAAATCCGTTGGATCAGCATTTTCATCCCGACTTTTTGTGCATAAAGGCACCGAAGTTCGCATTCTTGTTGCTCAAACAATACCGCTGCCTGAGAACTTTCAAAACAAACAAAACGAGAATGCCGCATCATTTCATTTCAGAGCACAGTTAGGCCAATCGTGATATTGGGTTACTTTGACTGGCCTTGACACAGATTGATTTTCATCCATTACCCGTTAGTATTGTTTTGAAAAAGATCCTGAAAATGCAATTGATAGCTTTATTGAAAACGGAACAACTAATTCCATATCCTAAATATAAGGGTGCTCCCCATAAAAAGCGTTCCTGCTATACGTTTGGTGCAATTACTACCATTAAGAAACTCGTTACAGGCGAACAAAGTTGCTAAAACGCTCTCTGGCGATCGCAATGGTTTTGTTTGTACAATCTCACTCATTGTGAAAGAAAAGGAAAGAGGTTTTTGGAACTCATAAGGAAATTGAGTGTCG